TAATATACCCTCCATACTATGGTGGAGGGTATAAAAACAGTAGTAGCAGCATCAGCTGCCGCTGCTGCTGTGTAACTGACAGACTGACTGACAGCATTGTTCACAATCGACATTTATTTTTGGTACAAAATATTTTTATTTTTACTTTAATTCTTGCCACATCTTTAATGTTCGTAACAGTTCGTAACAATGAGTTTTTTCTTTCTAATTTTTTGTCAAATAAACCAAAATTGTTGAAGAACAAGAGCTTCTGCTCACACCTTGTTTTATAAACCTCTTGGAATTCTAAGGATTTTTTATTACTGAGAAAAGAAAAATAAAAATATGAACAAAGTTCTTGTTCTTTCAATTCATAGAAAAATTGTATGCCTACCCGTGATATATATATTGTGGAAAAGAATTAAAACATGTGGTTGTTGATGTGAAAAAAATAAAACAAAAACTTTCCCATCGACCTTTGCTGTTGTTGCTGGCAGAAAATTGCGACAAATAATTGTGGGGTTTGATAAACCAAAAATAAATAGTTCATGAAAATAAATTTATGAACTTTTGATAAAACGTGTCGATCCGTTTAAGGGGACCCCCCCCCCCCCATTCTCGAAGTCAACATGTTTGTATAATGTCTCTACAAAATTTCAAGTGAAAATCTCAAGAACTCTTGAAGATATAGCCGATTTATTATGTCAGCATCAAGTGACGGCTGAAGGGCTTCTCAAACTTTAAACGCGTTTTTCTCTAAACATTTTTTTGCGAATGGCGGGCACGATAACTCAAAAACTAATAATCCAATCGGTTCCAAATTTTGCAACGTTTCTCTGGGAGTGTATAGCTCTCGTATAAACTAGGATAAAGCCAATCGATGAAGATCTTCCTTATTTTTTAACTTGGTTTTTGGTAAAAAATCGGCGATTTTCCAAAAATATTTTTTCAAAGGTCCACCATTTTGTAAATTTTAGAGTGAAGTCAATAATCCTAGTTCATTCGAGGCCCAGACATGTACTTTTTCTAACACCATTGGAATTTTCGGATTCCGATGTTCCAGTGAGGAGTTATCATGCCCGCCATCAAAAATAAGGACTTTTCTTTAATTACAAAAAACAACAACAAAACAATAACAAAAATTTTTTGTAAATTATTTTTCTTCTCTTTTAAATCTTCAATTATATATGTGCAAAGTTACAAACCTTAACAAGCATTTGTATTCACTTACCAGCCCATTGAAAATCTGGAAAATTTAAATCGAGAATTGGGGAGGGGGGGTTCCCTTAAAGCATCTGTAAATATTTAATAAATTTCGAGTAATGCAGGATAGATAATTGCGCGGAGTAGCTGATCAATTAACTAGCTCAATCCTTAGAATCCTTAGTTAATTAAAATGCCCATTGGATAACTATTTCAAAATCTCTTAGAAAATTAACCATGTATATGTGGTTGTCGATAATTTTTGGTGGAATTATAAAATAATAATAATAAAATCTTAAACCCCAATGAGACATAAACAAGTTAAAATGACGGCGTTGTTGAACTTTTTATATCCTCACCATGTAGTGGTAGATTATCTTATCTTATTATGGCGGCTACATTATTACAAATGATCTGCTAGAAGATGGTCTGAATAAATTAAATACAAAGTTACAGACAATAATGTTGGGAAATTGAGGTAGGATATTCAACATACAAAACAAATAATTTAGACCTTTGTATTGAGCTATTTAAAACATGGGCATATATTTAATATTTCCTGGAAAATGTTTATTCAATCACAGCCCCCTTAGTGGGAAAATGCAACTAAAACCTAAAAATTCTGAAAATGGGATTTCGCTTTTTTGCGGCTACTTCAGGACATGCATTCTTCTTAAAATGGTCTGCAAAGATTTTATTCTGCCCCAAAGAACACAGACTACTAAAACCTTCAAACTAACGAAAATGCTTAAGGTGACCTAAAGATGGAGGTTATGTCACAGTGGTACAGGGTCTTATGTCTTTGTACATATGTTTGTAACAGGCAAAAATAAACGAGATAGGCCCATGGTTCCTTTTGAGAATATGCATTGAATCACTTTCTGAGTCGATTTATGCATGTCAGTCCGTCCATCTGTCTATGTTAAATTGTTAACAAAGTACAGGTCGCATTTATGATTCGAATTGGATGAAATGGCACAGGTCATTTGTTCTGCCCAAAGATGAACCTTACTGAAATTGGGAAAAATCGGTTCAGATTGAGATAGAGCTCCCATATATATTTTGCACAACGTACTGAAGTTAGTATAAGATACTGTGTGGAAAGTTTCACTGCAATCGGTTCAGATTTAGATATGGCTCCCATATATAGTTTCGTCCGATTTTCAGTAAATGGTGAAACAAAGCCCCAAAACATGGCCTATTGACACACAAATTTGCACAACGTACTGAAGTTACTATAACATAACGTGTATAAAGTTTTGTTGAAATCGGTTCAGATTTAGATATAGCTCCCATATATAGTTTCATACGATTTTAAGTTAATGGCGCGCAAAAGATTTGAATATAGCTCCCATATATATATATTTTCGTCCAATTTTAAGTAAATGACGCACAAAACGTACATAAGTTAGTATAATCTTATTCGTTGAAATCGGTTCGGATTTGGATATAGCCTCGATATATAGGTTCGCTCGATTTCATGTAAATGGTACACCAAACTCCTAATGTTTATCAGATTTTTTTTTTTATAAAAATGCAGTCATGGTCTATATATATATATTCGATCAATATAATCAATGGGTGTCCGATTGAGATTTGCTTTAAATCGATTTATATAATTTTGCCCCATTGCAAAGAAACGACTCTATATCTGTCCGCATGAAAAATTTAGCATAGGTTGCAGAATGACATGTCTATGATTGATTTAAGTCGGTTCACAGCTAGATAACGATAACATATTTTAGTTTATACGATTTCGGACATTTATAAGGATGCATCTGTTGAATATACTCAAAGTGGTGAAGGGTATTATATAGTCGGCTCCGTCCAACTTTACTACCTTCCTTACTGGTTTCGAAATAGTTTTGCAATACTGTCGCTCCCTATTCAAGAACCCAGAACAACAAATTAACCTTCGAAATACCGAAAATGCTTTCAAAAATATCGGTCTTGGAAATTCCAATCGTGGGTATCTCCAAAGGAAAATTTGGGATGTTCGGTAAAAAATCATTATACCAAAAACTATCAATATTGGTCCACTTTTTGGGAGATTTTCCATAAAAAAGGCATCTCCCAAATTTTGCTAAGGTTTTCAATCGAATTTAATTTATATTTTATATTTTATGTTTCAATTGGTTGTCAAATTGTCCCCATATAAAAAATCCAGATAGATTTAAGGTACTTTGAAAGTTCAGCTCATGATGGAGTGCTCATCCGTAATAAACTTAGATTTGAATATTGGTTAATTTTTTAGGTTATTTTCCACACAACAAATTTACCAAATTTCGATACATTTGGTAACATTTTCAAAAGAATATTTGACAGGAAGATAGTCAAAGGAAAACTAAACAACTGTTCTTAAAACTTTGGATTTGATTTGTATACCCTACACCACACTCTGGTACAGGGTACCAGACAAAAGGAAACGAGATAGGCACATGGCTCCTTTTGAGAATATGCATAGAATCACTTTTGTACAGATCGCATTTCGGATCACAGCTAATTTGTTTGGCCCAAGAACGAGCCCTATTGAAATTGGAGAAAATCGGTTCAGATATAGCTCCAACATACATTTTCATTCAATTTTACCTAAATGCTGCAACAAGCACACAATATTTGTCCGATCAAGACAAAATTTAGCACAGCATACTGAATTTAGTCCAGCTTAATATCTGTCAAGTTTTGTAGAAATCGGTTCTGATTTATATATAGCCCCCATATATTATTTCGTCCAATTATATGTAAATGGTGCACCAACTTCCAAGGTTTGTCCGATTGATATAAAATTTTGCTCTGCGTACTTAGTTAGATCCCAATTACTTTCGGATTTATATATAGCTTCCATACATAATTTTACTTAATTTTATACAAATGGTAAACCAAGAATCCAAGTCAGTTGGCATACCATTTCAGATTGGTTCAAGGGTTTCAAGTTGAAAAAAGTGTGACAGTGTTATTATTTATTTTGCGTCAAAATTGCTTTGAATGGGTCGCCATTTACATATTTTTTCGTTTTCATTTTAAGGGTACATCTACGTCGTTACGTCTGTCGGATTGGGTTCGAATACGAATCTCAGGTGTCCATTTTGTAGATATTAATTGTCGTGTAGGGTATCATATAGTTGACTCGTACTTTATTCACAGTGTGCTCGTTTGTACTCCATACAAAATGTGGATTCCAAAATGTGGATTCATTATAAACTTTTTTCAGTGAAATTAAATACATAATTTATTCCTGAAAATATATTTCTCACATTTCTCAAAAAAAAAAAAAAAAAAAAAAACTTTAAATTGTCTTAAGAATTTCCACTGTTTCGTCGAATTCTATGCCTAAATTAACAAGCTTTTAATTCGAACTTCAAAAAACCGCAGAACATCCCTGTGTCCTCTTCCTTTCTAAAAGTATCAACAATTATTACTTCCTTTCAAAGTGTGTGTGTGTAGATTTTTTTATTATAGTAACAACAAATTAAATTTCACAGAAAAAAAAACTTTCCACTTCACCTCAACTGCCATGTAGATTGGCTGTGTATGCTTCTCTATGTGTCAGTGGTTGTGTGTGTGTAAGTTGTGGAAAAGTTTTCTCATATTAATCAGATTTAATTATTCAAATGTTCTCTAGCATACCCAGGCGTACCGACAGACCGACCATAAACATAATTCCAACACCACTTAGCATACATTTGCCGGCTTTTTTACTTGCAATGGGCATATTCATCGTCGGTGTAGTGTTGCTGCTAATCCCATGACGTACTTTATTATCTTACGTTCTTGTTTTTTCTCATCTCATTTTCTCGTTCTTCTTCTTGTTTTTACAGCCAATGGCAGAGCCAACATACACCAGGGGAAATTATACGCTTTATTATGCCACTAGTACAACAACAGTTGCAAATGAGCCCTCATCAGTAACAACATCATCGTCGTCGTCGTCTTCATCCTCCTCCTCGTCGTCCTCATCACCGTTTGCGGTGCCACCAGCAGCACCACCTTTCATTTCCACATTTTCGTCCAAGTTTTTAAACCGAAAAAAGCGCCACAGGCCAAAGGCTGCCACAGCATCTTCCCATTTACCACCTGTAACTACTCATGACTGGCTGATGGAGGCCCAGGCTTCCTTGCCAGGCTCAGCCTCAGCAGCATCATCATCGTCGTTGTCCTCATCCATGTATAATTCATTTAATCCCTACGATCCATACCATGCCCACTTAGTTACTAAGAAGATTGCGAAAAATGTAAATAATCACAATGTCAACGCTGTGGCTGCATCGGCTAACATTGTAGCTGATGATCATTATGCGATGGACGACGGCCAGGATACTACATATGATGAGCATGAGCATAAATCTCGAGCAGATGATGATGGTGATGAAGAAGATGGTGAATATGGCGGATTTGATGCCAGTGGCAGTGGGGATAGCTCGTCGTCGGCAAGTTTTTCCAATGCCAACTATGAAACCTATAGTCGGGAGCATATACCGGATGATGACTATGGCTCATCAACCACCACCAGCAGCCGGAGTGCCAACAGTGCAATCACCAGCACTAGCACGAGCACAAGTAGAACTACCAGCAAAGCCACTAAAATCCCATCAACTACATATGACTATGTGGATTCATTGCCGTTATCATCGCCACTACCACCACCACCGCCGCCACCACTAACACCACCACCACCCTGCCCCTGGAAATGCGAGCTAACAAATGATCGCGGTTATGTTCTCTATTCCGCCCTCGGCTCCTTCTACATACCCATGTTTGTAATGCTTTTCTTTTACTGGCGCATTTATCGGGCGGCAGTGCGAACCACACGAGCCATTAATCAGGGATTTAAAACCACTAAGGGTAAGTAGCAATGATTTCGTTTTATTTTTCCGATTTGTTCTACCACAAACCTGTGCCGTCCAATTAAAAAAAGAAACAAAAACAAAGCGACATCAATTCAACACTCAACTCACATTTTTTCTCATTTAGAGTGTACTTCTTTAATTTTGTTTGTGGCAAATACCAAAACGTAGTTGTGACATGAAGTAGTGAAACCGTCATTGCGACAAATCAACTTGTTTTTATAAACAAAAAAAAAAAAAAAACTTTCATTTTAAAGCATTTTGTAAATCAATTAGATTTTGTTTGTTTTTGTAAAAACATTTTTCATTCTCAGATTAAACAATTAAAAAAACAATAAATAAATTAAAACACATTTTTCATTATTCACTATGCAATTTTAATACACATGCAAATAATACGAATACCAACATTGGTTTGGATTTAAGGTAGGAGGTTTGTACACTAACGTCTTTTTCATTGGTAATTCCATAAAACTTTATTTGGAATTGGCAGAATATTAGATTCGGCTAGCATCGAAGACAATATGTATTGTTTGAGATTTTTATTTTTTAAGCATATTGTATAATTGATGGGCGTATCTAGCACAGTTTTAGTGATTCCAGTAGTGTACGTCATCTACGTCGAAATTTTGGAAATACTTGAATACCCATTAGGACGCACAGATATCCCAACAATTTTCTGAAAGCAAATATATATTCAAATCGGGGGTGTCATAATTACAAATTTTGGAATTTTGGTGCACCATTTAGATAAAATTGGACGAAAATATATATAAAAGCTATATCTAAATTTCAAATGATTTCAACAAAACATTACGTTTAAAATGGAAGAATATATCTGAATCTGAAACGATTTCAATGAAACATAAACACACAATATTCATGACTCCGTGCACCATTTACTCAACATAGGACGAAATATACGTCTAAACCAAAAAAAAAAAAAACATAGGACCTTCGGACTAGGCCGACTATATGATACCCTTCAACAATTTGGATATATTCTATATATGTATCGTGGAAATCGAAAGATATATAGGGACATTGATGCACCATTTATAATAAATTGGATGAAAATATATATGGGAGCTATATCTAAATCTGAAGCGATTTTCACGAAACTTAACACACATCACTCTAGGCTCAATTCAGTACGCTACGTCAAATTTCGTGTAAATCTATATATATAGGGACTGTTGTGCACGATTTACATTAAAACGGATGAAAATATATATGGGAGCTATATCTAAATCTGAACCGATTTTTCAATTTCTATAGGGTTCGTCTTTGGACCAAATAGATGAGATGTGCCAAATTTCATTCAAACCGGATTATAAATGCGACCTGTACTTTGTTTACAATTTAACTTGGACAGATGGACGGACATTCATAAATCGAATTAGGAAGTGGTTCTATGCATATTCTAATAATTTTTGATAGGAGGTTCCCAATGAGCACCTAAAATATGAAATTAAAGCCTTTTCGATTGAACACCATATCCAAAATACCCTGCATTAGCCTTTATATGGCGTTTCCCTCGTAACTTGAGTTAAAATTTATAATTTAGGTAGGGAAAATCTCTACACAATTAAAACAATATTGTTTGAAACACTATCCAGAGACTTGGATCAATATTATTATCTAAAACTTTGGTAAATTTTTGCTGGGAATGCTTGGTGTCCCATGAGAACCCAAATTATCAAATAACAGTTAATGCCCAACATTCTGGGAGTAGTAGAAATGTATGTGCAACTTTCAAAGCCCTAAACGTTATATGGGGTTACCCTAAAAATTGGACCAATATTAGATGTATGAAGCTACTACCTATGAGCAACCAAAATATGAAATAACATTCAATTCTTTATATGGGTGGAGATACCAAAAGTAAATTCCGAATACTGAAGGTGGGCGTTGTACCGAAGCACCGAATGTTGGGATAATTGTTGGTACGATGATTTGAGAACCCAAATATCTAATTATAGCCAATTCGGTCACTGAGACATTGCTCAGAAGCTGCTGGGGAAATGTGTAAAACTAATACGAAACATTTTTATATTCCGTTTTGACACCCACCAAATCGATATCATATACTTTAAGAACATAGGCCATTAAGTTGATACCAATTATATAGTTGTATGTACTCATGTGGGAGTTTTATGTACTATGTGGGAGTTTTATGTACTATGTGGGAGTTATAGTTAAATAAATAAATTGTAACTAGGTATTCTAATATAGAGGGTGATCACTTTGAAATTATACATGAAGTTATGGTTAATAATGACGCATATAATTTTCGGTGATGATCGGAGATATTTATGGGATGAAGTGGATCGAAAACATAATATGTGTGTGTGTGTGTGTGTTTTTAAGACTCTCAAAGTTGAACATCGCAAAATTTCACAGGGGGAAGGAAGTTTGACTAAATTCAATATGAAGAGGGTCAAATTGCAGCTGATGACAGAAGTTGAATCTTACTGCGTAAATGTTCACCCGTGAAAACCAGATTTGGAAAATATGAAAGGCCAAAGAGTGCATATATAGCGAAATATTGCATAGGCTTAGAAAATGTTTCAAAAGTTAATCGCAAAACATTATACAATAATATACCTTCATATATAAGGCTGGGAAAAAAGAAATCCATTATTTTTATATGAGCTATAGGACATTATTAAACATGCTTCAGAATGTCCGATTTGGGCCATATATGCACCGTTTTGTTGTATAATTTGTTGCCATTTTAAAGGCATTTCTCGATCATTTCTCCGATTTTATCGACATTTTCGACGACCGAGGTGTATCTTTAACATCAAAAATTCCTGAAGGGAATCTACGAAACCAAAATTGCACATAATTAGCTGTATTTAGCCGCTTGGCTTGCATTTTCGCCGTTGTCAAAGAAAAACTGTAAAATATAATGAATGTTTTCTTTGTTCACTTCCATTTTTAACACCCTGTAACTCACGACAGAATGCACCAAACAAAACAAGTTAAATAATTCTTTATACTGCGAAATATGGCCTTTCCAACGAGTATAAATTGTTCGATCGATACTTTATGAGAAATATATCAGCACAGCCGTCTGTCGAAAAAAATAATGGATTTCTGATATTTTAAGTCCCCGCATAAAGTCCTTGATCGATGCAGCGAATTTGATTTAATTTTTTTTATTTTGAAGAAGAAATAATAAATACCAGATTTATGGAATTACCAAACCCTACTATCATTATACATAATAAACAATTTATTATTACAATTTGAACACATGGTCACAAAAAATTCATATCTAATTCATATTATCCCAGAAACCAATGTCTTAACATTCAATTGTGTTTTTGTCCAATCTTGATTCTTATAACATAAGCAAATTTGATACTTTGTTCTAATGTCTAACATATGTACATGTATGTAAAGTACCTTGTTATTTGAGGGACGAGGTATGAATATCTCGAACGTGTGTATATTTCTTGTCTATAGCTTCTATTTTAAAATTCAATGCACCTACAAAAGTTTACATACACATCTACACAAATACTCACACATGTACCTAAAAGTAAAATCTCAAATGGCTCGAGAAAATGAGTTCCTTATTTAAATAATCCATAAAAATGTGTATTGTAATTGAATTCATTTGTAATATTAATCCAGGTTATTTGCTAACAAGCACAATAAACATTTTCTTAAATCTAAAATTTTAAATACTGTAGATATGCGTACACACATACAGACACAGAAATAAAGAGCTCTGTTGGTAAAGACACACATACATCAAACAATAGAAGATTATATTTATACCATACATAGCTATGTTGACAGGATATTACAGCTTTGTGTGGCCCAAGAGTTTGTAACTCCGCGAAATATTGGTCCTAGATCCACCGTTTAGTATACCCATCGTCATATCTCGATTATCTGAGTCGATCTAGATATTTATATTCGTCCTTTAGTCAGTTCATTATAATTTGTAAACACGATACAAACCACAGTTATGGACCCATCGTCACGAAATTTTTATGGTAAGATCGTTTCTGGCAAAAGAAGATGCCTATTGGCCGCAATCAAAAGTCGAACGTTACGACATTTTACATAAATAAAGGGATGTGGTCAATGAATGGACATGCCTGTTTTGATAAAGATCGGTCAATATTTAGGGGGTCAAATGAGCCAAGACTTTTGTGTGAATAATAACAAAATTTGCATTCTATGGCGTATATATTTATCCCAGAAGGATATAGACCCGAGAAGTTGAGAATATATCCAAGACGAGTGGTTGAAATTTAAATTGATACGAATTTCATTGTTCTATGTACTCGGATGTGCGAATTTGATTTAAGTACTTACAGTTGTCTACGTATTCTGATAATGTTTAGTATTACCATTACTACATTAGAGGATAATGGCTTAGGACAATGGCTATAATTTTCGATGATGATCAGATAATATTTCGGGTATGAAAATAACCGAACACTTTATTTCTGGTTATCTAGTCACCCCAGATGTCACAATTATAAGCTAAGCATCAGAAAATGGGGAAGGCATTTAATTGACTGTCTTGATAATGAACGGGGGTTAAATGAACCAAATGTTTACTCTGCGCCAAATCCAAATCTTCCATCTATTCGTCGACTATAAAGCCGCATTCGACATCCATGCGTTCGGCATTTCTGCAAAATTATTATAGCTATGGAGGATAACTTCGAGTGGCACAATGTCAGCAGTTAAAGTCGGAAAAGACCTCTCGTGGCCTTTTAATACCGAACGAGGATTTAAACAAGGTGACAATTTGTCGTGTGACCTTTCCTAACATCCTGCTATGTTACTCACCTACGCCGACGACATTGACGCAATGGGTGGACCATTGCAAGCAGTAACAGCCTCCTTTGAACGAATCGAATCTGCCAAAGTGGGACTGACAGTACATGGCGAGAAGATCAAGCTAATGGTAACAACGCGCTAGATGTGCAGTAGAGACGGACCAACTATGGAACTTGAAAACTACAG